AACAATACAGCAGCTAAAAGAAACAAAACAGCAGCTAAAACAAACAAAACAGCAGCTAAAAGTGTCAAAACAGCAGGTGAAAGAGACAAACAGCATATAAAACAGGCAAAACAGCAGCAGAAAGAGGAAATACAGCTAAAAGAGAAAAAAAAGCAGCTGAAAGAGACAAACCAAGAGCTAAAAGAGGCATAGCAGCAGCTAAAAAAATGCAAAACAGCAGCTAAAAGTGACAAAACAGCAGCTATCAGAGACAATACAACAGCTAAAAGAGTCAAAACAGCAGCTAAATGAGACAAAACAGCAGCTAAAAGAGACAATACAGCAACGAAAAGAGACAAAACAGCAGCTAAAAGAGAAAACAGCAGCTAAAAGAGACAATGCAGAAATTAAAAGACACAAAACAGCAGCTAAAAGAGACAAAACTGCAGCTGAATGAGGCTAAACAGCAGCTAAAAGAGACAAAACAGCAGATGAAAGAGACAAACAGCTGCTAAAACAGGCAAAACAGCAGCAGAAAGAGGAAATACCGCTAAAAGAGACAAAAAAGCAGCTGAAATAAACAAAACTGTAGCAAAAAGAGACGAAACAGCAGCTAAAACAGCAACCCTTCCCTATGCAAATGGGTCCTGGATTTCTTAACCAACAGGCCACAGTCTGTGTGTATCCATAACTTCTCCTCCTTCACCATAACCCTCAGCACTGGCTTCCCCCAGGGATGTGTGTTGAGCCCCCTCCTGTTCACTCTGCTCACATATGACTGCACACCTACCCATCCAGGTTGTGATGTTGTACAGCGGTGGTGGGGTTCATCACAAACAATGATGAGTGCAGGTGCACGAAGAACAACCTTCACATCAATGTGGAGAAGATAAAGAAGATGATCGTGGATTTCAGAAGGAGCAAACACCCCCCAACCCCCCACCCCGAACATAGCAGGATCTGCGGTGGAAGTGGCATGGAGGCTGCACAGCTGCAGAAAGACAAGCTTTGCAGAGAGTGGTGAAGGCTGCACAGAAGATGTTGGAGTCAGCCTCCCCACCATCACAGACATTTACACCTCCAGATGCAGGAAGAGAGCCACCTGCATCATGAAGGACCCCACTCACCCAGCACACACACTTTTTGCCCCGGTCACCTCAGGAAGTAGGCTAAGGAGCATTAAGTGTAGAACCACTAGACTGAGGAACAGCTTCTACCCTGAGGCTGTTAGACTCATGAATCGCTAACCAGAAAAATCACTGTACTGTCACTTTAAGTGGTGATAGTGACTTATCTGTGCTGCTGATTATCATGCTGCTGAATTCTTGCCTTAAGCTGCTATATTCATAGCTACCTGCTCACAACAGACTCCTGTTCAGATTGCTGTTTAATACTGTATTACAGTATATTACATTATTATCAATTAACACATACCTAGATTTCTTTTTTTATTTACTTTATATTATTGCTATTTTTGGGTGTAACTGAGACCTTGTGTACACAATTTTGTTCCACCTCTTGTACCACATGATGCGAATGACAAAGAACCTTGAACCATGAAAGGTGGCATAACAGCAGCTGAAACAGACAACAGCAGCTAAAAGAAACCAAACAGCAGCTAAACAAGACAAAACAGCAGCTAAAAGAAGCAAAACAGCAGCTAAAAGAAATAGCAGCAAAAGGAGACAAAGCAGCAGCTAAAAGAGACAAAACAAGAGCTAAAAGAGGCATAACTGCAGTTAATAGATAAAACTGCAGCTAAAAGATACAAATCTGCAGCTGAAAGAGACAAATCTGGAGCTAAAAGAGACAAATCTGCAGCTAAAAGAAACAAAACAGCAGCTA